AGCGAAGTGCCCCGAAGCTGAAGGACCGCACCGCCAAAGACCCCAGGCCCCCTGAATCCTCTGGGCAGCCCTGCTCCATTGTGTGCCTGAGGAAAACGTTGCCAGAATGCCAAAATAGCAGCCAAACAGGAATATTCTAGAGAGCTGCGCCCAGGCTGCTCCAAAGCAGCAGAAACAGCACACACTATTTTGGAAATGCTTGGGAGCTGCTGGAGCAGCTATGTGAGGGTGAGGGGAGCCCAGCTAGGCTTCCTCCATAAACCCCAGTCCTCACCCCAGCCCGAACCCAACACATAGCACCAGGGGCTCGTTCCTCCTCCTGCCTCAGTGGCACCACATGGGGCAGGAGCTCCCACAATGTCCAGGGGACATGGCAGAGAAGAGAGAGAACCAGGCTTACCCCAACCACGCCTCTGGGCCCAGCACATGGTCCCATCTGCCCATTTTTGCCTCTGGAATAATAGCCTTTTGCTGCCAGTTAGTCCTGCAGTATGAGTGGTCAATGTCTGTGCTATCATGCTGATGACCTAGAGTTCAAACCCTCTTGATGATGTGTGATTGGTGGTTGCTAGAGTTGTGCATAATAAAATCTGGCTTTACCTTTCTCCTTTAATGAAACCCTTGGAAATTGCACCCAAAAAAAACCCAAACCACTATGTAAAGGAACATGATTTAATTTGCAAAGTCAAGTGTTTGAAAGTAAGAAAACCAAACCTCCGGATTGACGGTTGTCAGTGCAGCTGTATTTTGGCCCCCTTATGCACAGGCATTAGGGATGCAGTTTTCAGTGACATGATTGCATCCTATTCTTCCTGCAGGGACCCTGCCTCATTAGTGCATTCAGGGCAGAACGGAAGTTGTACTGGCAACTGTAAAACTGACATTTACTAACTTCCAAGTGCTGGATTTGCAAGCTAAATAAAAAACCCCAACTACATTAAAAGAACATTATGTCATTATTTATTTTGCACTAGTGGGGACCCATTATGCTGGCATTGTACAAACACATAACAGAAAGATTGCAAGAGGGGCAAATCAAAAAGCGTCCACTCAAACCTAATTTCTGATAGTCCATAGATCCATACCCTGAAGGGATAATTATGATCATCTAGTCTGACTTCCCATCTAATGCACCCACAAAACCTCATTTGAGATTAAATTTCAGGAATAACTTCCTAACAGTAGGACAGTGGAACAGACTATCTAGGGAGGTAGTGGAAGCTCCTTCACTGGAGGTTTTCAACAGGAGGCTGGATAGCCATCTGTCTCTTGGATGGTTTAGTGACTGCGCACAACAAATCCTGCAACTTGGGAGGGGGTTAGACCACATGACCCTTGTGGTCCCTTCTAACCCTATGATTCTAAGATTTTCACCATCTTGAAATCCACCTGGGGACTTTCAGACACACACTCTGACTCCTCCCTCTCTCCCTTTTCTAATTCCAGTACCAGCACCCTTTACAGATGACTCAGTGCCAAAGTGTGATGGTGTTCAGACTGGGTGTTTTTGATGTCTCTGAAGCTACCATAGTGCCTTTATTCAGAAAGTTTCATACTAAACAGTTAGTCATGATGAATGTAATTGCTTCATTTACTGTTGCATCTGATCAGTCTTTTGAAATTTGCACTTAGTTGGTTTAGGCTTTTTGGTTTTGAATCCAAATGTTGCTGTGAGAAACTAGTAAAACATGATAGCACAATGTTTGCCATGGAAACACGACGTGTCATAACCACTAGTGCTTTGAGGTCACAAAATTCTTGGCTGAAAGATGACACAAAATATGCCTGTTAGATAATATTCATACTGTGACAAAGTTCCTCCTCTGTCTTGGTGGGTCCTGCGCTTATTGGCGGATTTGCTTGCCTCAGAGGTTCACAGCAGCCCTCAGTTTGGCCACTTTCGTGGCTCAAATCTGCCGTTCACTCAGTTAGCCTCATCACTGGCCAGCATGGGGAAAAGGAAGAACAATCCCCACAGTCTCTGCTGATCCACGTAGTGGATCGGGGAACAGGCCAGAGACCTTCCCCTTTGGTGGAACCCACAGTCCAGGTCAACTCCTCCGGTATCAAGTAGGGAGTTGCGGGGGATGGAGGGATGGGGGGAACCCGGGCCCGCCCTCTACTCCAGGTTCCAGCCCAGGGCCCTGTGGAGTGCAGCTGTCCACAGTGGCTCCTGTAACAGCTGCGTGACAGCTACAACTCCCTGGGCTACTTCCCCATGGCCTCCTCCCAACGCCTTCTTTATTCTCACCACGGGACCTTCCTCCTGATCTCTGATAATGCTGGTACTTCTCAGTCTTCTAGCAGTACGCCTTCTCACTCTCAGCTTCTTGCGCCTCTTGCTCCCAGCTCCTCGCACGCACGCCACAAACGGAAGTGAGCTCCTTTTTAAACCCAGGTGCCCTGATTCGCCTGCCTGTCTTAATTGATTGTGGCAGCTTCTTGATTGGCTGCAGGTGTTCTAGTCAGCCTGTCTGCTTTAATTGTTTCCAGCAAGTTCCTGATTGTTCTGGAACCTTCCCTGTTATCTTACCCAGGGAAAAGGGACCTACTTATTATTAATCACTCTCCTGTAGCCATCTGGCCTGACCCTGTCACAATACATAACCTTTTTTCCCTTCACAGTGGTAATGGGAAAGAAGGTGAGTTAGAAACCTATGTGACAAAACAGCATTATCATTCAACTAGACAGGCAGCTTTAAAGGAGAGTTTACTGCACAAATAAAATGTATATGAAACTCAAAGCAACAGGAGTCATTGCCATGTGAAGGATACATGTCTCACAGTGATATCATGTGAAGACAGTTAGGCTGACATGACACTCAGTGCGGGAGAATATGTTTGCCTATCCACTTTCTCCTAAAAAAAGATATGGGGCAGCTGGTGCTATCTCAGGAGGTTTTGTGTGCATATTTTATGTGCATGCATGCAGATAATAAAAGTGTAGTTTTATATACGTGATTTTCATCCCAAAGTGATTTACAAAGATTCTGTATACAGTGCAGTAACCTATGATATGGAGGGCAGATGCCAGCACACTGAGTGCAAGGACGTAAACCTTAGCGGGAAAGGATGGTCCAAAATGTTACGATGCTAGCTTGGAATACAGCAGACTTGAGTTCAGTTTCCTGCTCTGTCTCAGACTCACTACGTGATATTGTGAGTGGGAAAGTAGAGAGTGCACTTATAAAGTTTGCGGAGGATACCAAGCTGGGAGGTGTTGCAAGTGCTTTGGAGGACAGGATTAAAATTCAAAATGATCAGGACAAACTGGAGAAATGGTCTGAAGTAAACAGGATGAAATGCAATAAGGACAAATGCAAAGTACTCCACTTAGGAAGGAGCAATCAGTTATGCACATACAAAATGGGAAATGACTGCCTAGGAAGGAGTACTGCGGAAAGGGATCTGGGGGTCATAGTGGATCTCAAGCTAAATATGAGTCAACAGTGTAACGCTGTTGCAAAAAAAGCAAACATCATTCTGGGATGTATAAGCAGGAGTATTGTAAGCAAGACACGAGAAGTAATTCTTACGCTCTACTCCGCGCTGATTACGCCTCAACTGGAGTATTGTGTCCAGTTCTGGGTGCCACATTTCAGGAAAGATGTGGACAAATTGGAGAAAGTCCAGAGAAGAGCAACAAAAATTATTAAAGGTCTACAAAACATGACCTATGAGGGAAGATTGAAAAAATTTGGTTTTTTTTAGTCTGGAGAAGAGAAGACTGAGGGGACATGATAACAGTTTTCAAGTACATAAAAGGTTATTACAAGGAGGAGGGAGAAAAATTGTTTTTCTTAACCTCTGAGGACAGGACAAGAAGCAGTGGGCTTAAATTGCAGCAAGGGCGGTTTAGGTTGGACATTAGGAGAAAATTCCTAACTGTCAGAGTGGTTAAGCACTGGAATAAATTGCCTAGGGAGGTTGTGGAATCTCCATCACTGTGGATTTTTAAGAGCAGGTTGGACAAACACCTGTCAGGGATGGTCTAGATAATACCTAGTCCTGCCTTGAGTGCAGGGGACTGGATTAGATGACCTCTTGAGGTCCCTTCCAGTTCTATGATTCTATGATATTGGATAAGTCCCATTTCTCTGCTTGTAAAAGGGGAATAGCAGTACTTTCCTACCTCACAGGGGTGCTGTGCAAAGGCCTTCTTAGAAAACAAGCTTTTGAGCTCCACAGAGCTCTTCTTCAGGTCTGGGAAACATATGAGCTTCTCCCGTCGACATAACTACCGCCTCTCGTGGAGGTGGATTACTACACCACGGGAGAAGCTCTCCCAATCAGTGTAGTAGCATCTTCACCAAAGCGCTACAGCGGCGCAGCTGCACGGCTGCAGCGCTGTACGTGTAGACAAGCTCCCCGAGTGTCACAGCTAAATACAAGGTGGAACAGATTGTTTAGCATAAGTAGTTAACACATATTTCAAGGTACCCATTCAAGGTGAAGTAGCCCATAAATATCTCTCCAGCCATAGGATGGAAAGGGGGGCAGGAAATGAGGTGCTCAAATACTGTGGTAATGAAGGCCAGGTAGCTATGCTGAATAGAAATTTTGACTCAGGACAAAGCCTTACTCTTAAAAAAATATCCCAAACTTTTTAGTGTGCCTAACATAGAAACTTAGGGGCAGACTCTGATCTCAGGTACACTGATGTAAATCTGGAATCACCCTACTGAAGTTAGTGGAGTTTGATTTTCACAGGTGTAGCAGAGATCAGACTCTTGGAATCTGAAACACCTTATGTGTTTCAGCCAAAAGTCTAAAAGCAAGTAAACAGCATGGTACTCAATTTATATTGACATTAGGAATCAGAAATACAAATGGCTGAATCAACTCTGCTAGGGTGCAACTCTGTGGGGCTGGGGAACTTCGGTATTTTAAACCTGATGATTAGGCTACTCAGTCATCCCTTCAGTGACTGTATGTGTGATGGAATGGTAAAGCTTAAATTGTGGAAGAAACATCAAACTCCTTTCAGATGTATTCAATACCTGCTCCATGAAATCCTCCGCAGAGATATAGCTTCCCTTCCACCGAGCCTGCACTAGTGGAGTTGGTTCGTAAGCTGAGGAGAGGAGAAGGCATCGGAGGCCCATCTCTCCAAAAATCCCCATCAGGGTTATAAATCTCCACTGCATCAAGACATTGCCGTGCCTGTCCCCTGTCTCGACCCAAGCAGCCAATTCCTCCTGCAGAGAAAGATATATATCAAATACACAGGACACCAAGACAGAAATACGGCAGTCCCAGAGTGCCACTGAAACTGGCTGCTTTCTTGTCTTTATGGAGTTATTTTTTATTTACATGCTCTCAGTTTTTCTCCTCATAGATTTTCTCTTTTCATCTCCAGAAGCTTGGTAATCAGAGGCTTTCAAATTAAAAGCCACGCCCCTTTACTACAGAGTTCACGGCTGCCCCAAAGGAGCTCCATTCTCACCTAGATATGGCAGGAAGGGCAAGAGGCACTTTTGCAAAATGCCAAGGTACTCGACCTCCTTTTTTTTTTTTTTTTAATTACACAGAAGAATTTGACTGTAGTGACTTGTTGTTTGTTGGTAGTAGCCAGATCACATGATCATTCAGTTATAAGGATCAAAAATTGCTTTCCAAAAGTAATTTGGTGTCAGTGGGTTTGCCCTTCACTCTCACTAATCAAGAATCATTTGGATTTTGCAAAAGGTAGGAAAGAATTTCATCCCTTTGTAAGGGCAAACTGGCTGCAGATAAAATAGTTGTCCAGTTTGCAGGAATGTCAGTTAAAGACAGTTAATATCTGTCTGACCTACCACCCGGGTCTTAAGATGCCTGGTAAAACGTGCTGTATACATATGAGATAGTGACTTTGAATGTCTGTATGCATCTGATCTTGAAAATTCACTGCTTTATGGCTCTGGATATAGTGATCATTCAGTTGTAAGTCAAACAAAACCTGACCAAACTGATCCTTACGGGTTACCACTGTATTTCAGTGAAATGCATAGTAAGTATCAGATACATCAATGCAAGTTTTCAGATAGGTACTTAAAAATAGAGATATTTCATATAAATTTTGTTATTTGCACCTTCTACCAGAGGATCTCAAGTTGCTGTAAATAATTTACATATGCTAACTGATTAAACTTCAGAACACCTCTGAGAGGCAGGTGTTACAAAATCAATTTTATAGATGAGGTAACAGACATCAATTTGGCCAAGGTCATAACCAGTCAGTGTCAGATTCAAGATTAGAAACCCAGTTTTCTTTAGTCTCAGTCTGTGTAGAGACTCAAGAAAGACTAGTCTCATAACATTCAAAAACCAGTAGGAGAACACTTCAATCTCCCTGGTCACTCAATAACAGACCTAAAAGTGGCAATTCTTCAACAAAAAAACTTCAAAAACAGACTCCAACGTGAAACTGCAGAACTGGGATTAATTTGCAAACTGGACACCATCAGATTAGGCCTGAATAAAGACTGGGAGTGGTTGGGTCATTACAAACCTAAACCTAATTTCCCCAATACTAATTTCCCCCTATTGTTACTCACACCTTCTTGTCAACTGTCTGAAATGGGCCACTCTCATTACCACTTCAAAAGTTATTTTTCCTCCCTGCTGTTAATTGATTTGTCTCATTAGACTGACCTCACAGTTGTTAAGGCAACTCACATCTTTTCATGCATTTATACCTGCTCCTGTATTTTCCACTCCATGCATCTGATGAAGTGGATTCTAGCCCACGAAAGCTTATGCCCGAATAAATTTGTTCGTCTCTAAAGTGCCAAAAGCATTCCTCCTTGTTTTTGCTGATACAGACTAACACGGCTACTACTCTGAAACTAGTCCCATAATGGTTCAAATGGGTAAATATGTAGGGTTTTATATTCCTTTCAAATTCTGTTCTCAGACCGCATTCCAAATAGAAACACATAATGCATTGTGAGGGCAGTAGCAGTAGTTGAATTTTAATTCTTGTTTTTCTTGTGAATTAAAACAAGCCCTACCAGTTGAGACTTAATTAGGATGTCTGGATTCTGTTTTTAGAATAGCTGGGCCTTCAAAAAACTGCTCCTGGTTTTCATTTCTTGGAACATATTGCAACATTCAGCACCAGTATCTCCCCATCCTCACTCCATCTTCAGTGTGCAATGTTTGCACACTGAAATTGTACGGCAGACACTGTGTCTCTAAATATTTTCCAGTGAGCAGCTCTGGGTTTTGAATTCACAGCCCTTAGATCTCAAGGATTAATATGCTGATGTACTCCAGCAGGTTCTGCATCTGTGCCACTCGATACAATACCCTATAATGAGCATCGATGGCATCTCCATGCTAAAGCAGCTCTTTTGTGTGTGCATGTGCCCACTTTTAAATATAAAATGACAGCAATATTCATGCAATTTCCAAATTAATGGCCAGATTTCCAACGGGCCTCCAAATACACATGCCCATTCAGGACCCCACAAGTTTATGAGACCAAAATGGATGCTTCTGCACTTAATTACTCACTTACGTTTAAAAGGGTATGGCTGCAAATATTGCTAGCACAGTTTTGGGGAGGGGCCTTTTGAAACTTTGCCCCTAAAATGGTGTCATTTAAAATGGCCAGTCAGTGAAAGGAGCCTACAGTAGGTAATGTTTTAAAAGAGTTTTTTTATCTGCCTCTTCATTGGGATTGTTTTTAACTCGGGCTGTTGATTAATCACAGTTAACTCATGCCATTAACTCAAAAAAATTAACTGCGATTAATTGCACTGTTAGACAATAGAATACCAATTGAAATGTATTAAATATTTGTGGATGTTTTTCTACATTTTCAAATATATTGATTTCTATTACAAACACGGAATACAAAGTGTACAGTGCTCACTTTATATTATTATTTTTTATTACAAATATTATAATAAATTATAAAAAATAGTATTTTTCAATTTACCTCATACAAGTACTGTAGTGCAATCTCTTTATTGTGAAAGTGTAATCTACAAATGTAGATTTTTTTGTTACATGATTACACTCAAAAGCAAAACAATGTAAAACTTTAGAGCCTACAAGTCCATTCAGTCCTACTTCTTGTTCAGCCAATCGCTAAGACAAACAAGTTTGTTTACATTTATGGGAGATACTGCTGCCTGCTTCTGAAGCCTGGTCTACCCTGGGGGGGGTGGGGGAAATCGATCTAAGTTACGCAACTTCAGCTACGTGAATAACGTAGCTGAAGTCAATGTACTTAGATCTACTCACCGCGGTGTCTTCACTGCGGTGAGTCGACTGCTGCCACTCCCCCCGTCGACTCCACATGCGCCTCTCATGCCAGTGGAGTATAAGAGTTGATGGGAGAACGCTCGGGGGTCAATTTATCGCGTCTAGTCTAGACACGATAAATCAACCCCCGCTGGATCGATCGCTGCCCGCTGATCCGGCGGGTAGTATAGACATACCCTTATTTACAATGTCACCTGAAAGTGAGAACAGACGTTCACATGGCACTTTTGTAGCTGGCATTGCAAGGTATTTACGTGCCAGATATGCTTAACATTCGTATGCTTCAGCTACCATTCCGGAGGACATGCTTCCATGCTGATGATGTTCGTTACAAAAATAGTATGTTAATTAAATTTGTGACTGAACTCCTTGGGGGGAGAATTGTATGTCCCCTGCTTTGTTTTACCTGCATTCTGCCATATATTTCATAGTATAGCAGTCTCGGATGATGACCCAGCACATGTTTGATTTACAAACACTGTCACTGCAGATTTGACAAAATGCGAAGAAAGTACCAATGTGAGATTTCTAAAAATAGCTACAGCACTCGACCCAAGGTTTAAGAATCTGAAGTGCCTTCCAAAATCTGAGAGGGATGAGGTGTGGAGTATGCTTTCAGAAGTCTTAAAAGAGCAACACTCAGATGCGGACACTACAGAACCCGAACCACCAAAAAGGAAAATTAATCTTCTGCTGGTGGCATCTGACTCAGATGATGAAAATGAACATGCATCAGTCTGCTCTGCTTTGGATCATTATCGAGCAGAACCCATCATCAGCATGGATACATGTCCTCTGGAATGGTGGCTGAAGCATGAAGGGACATATGAATCTTTAGCACATCTGGCACATAAATATCTTGCAACGCCGGTTACAACAGTGCCATGCGAACATCTGTTTTCACTTTCAGATGACATTGTAAACAAGAAGCAGGCAGCATTATCTCCGCAAATGTAAACAAACTTGTTTGTCTGAGCAATTGGCTGAAGTAGGACTGAGTGGACTTGTAGGCTTTAAAGTTTCACATTGTTTTATTTTTGAATGCAGTTTCTTTTTGTACATAATTCTACATTTGCAAGTTCAACTTTCATGATAAAGAGATTGCACTACAGTACTTGTATTAGGTGAATTGAAAAATACTATTTTTTTGTTTTTTACAGTGCAAATATTTGTAATAAAAATAAATATAAAGTGAGCACTGTACACTTTGTATTTTGTGTTGTAATTGAAATCAATATATTTGAAAATGTAGAAAACACCCAAAAATATTTAAATAAATGGTATTCTATTAGTGTTTAACAGTGCGATTAATCGCATCGTTAATTGTGATTAATTTTTTCAATAGTTTGCCAGCCCTATTTTTAACCTTTTGTACCATCTCCAAAGGCATTTGTGAGGGGCTCTGTAAAGGCGGGGGCTGTAATGCCCTAGGCACATCTCGCTATTCCTGATCAGTATTTTAGAGCAACCAAAGAGGAGACCACTCATCCCCACTTTTACCTTGAGTTCACAGCAGTGAACTGATACAGGAGTTGGGAGCTTAGGGCCTGATCCAAAGCCCAGTAAAGCCAATGAGAAATCTCCCTCCCATTTATTTTAATGTGCCTTGGATCATTATTATTATTGGTATTACCGTAGCACCTAGATGCCCTGGTCATGGCCCAGGCATGAAATCAATGTTGTGTATATATCCCTGATCAAAAAAGTTTCATAGTCATATACCTCACCATCAAGGGTCAGTGGGTTCATTCTAACAGGCCATAAATCTGGGAGCTGTGGTGCTTTCAGGTAGCTGAGGATGCTCATTTCTACTTTACCTGACCTGGTTGGGGCAGTTGTGCAATTGATTCAGAGTTTGGCTGGGCCAGGGGGTTGGTTGAGGGCAAGATGGCTGAAGCTGATCCACACACAAGATGGAGATAATGTGGATAGGTTGGTGAGGCAT